GGCTATAGTCAGTTAGTCGTTTACATAGAAGGGTGCAAATACACTACCATTTAAAAGTTTGGGGTCAGTTTTTTTTTTTTATACTTTTTAATATTCAGCAAGGATGCATTATATTGATCAATAGTGACAGTTAAACATTTATAATGTACCAAAAGATTTCTATTATTTTAAATAATCGCTGTTCTTTTGAACTTTCTAATCAAAATATCCTGAAAAAAAGTTTCCAGAAAAAATATTAAGCAGCACAACTGCTTTCAACATTTATAATAATAAGATTTTTTTTTTTTTTTATGAGCACCAGTCAGCATATTAGAATGATTTCTGAAGGATCATGTGACACTGAAGACTGGAGTAAGACTTCTGAAAATTCAGCTTTGTCATCACAGGAATAATTACATTTTAAAATGATTATTATTTATAAAAATATGAAGCAGTTATTTTAAATTATATTAATATTTATTACTGTTTTTACTGTATTTTTGATCAAATATATCTAGACTTGGCAAGCAAAAAAAGACTTTCAAAAACATTTTTTTTAAATCTTGCCAACTCCAAACTTTTGAAAGGTCTAAATGTGTCAGATCAGTGTCTGGTGGATGCTAAAGAAGCCTAATTATACAGCGCTTTCTAAAATGACTAGTTGTTCTGACAACCTACCGACAAATTGATTTTGAAAATATATGCAGTTGTGTGTACGTTTCAAAAATGCAATTAAGGATCAAAGATCACTTAGGATCCAAAACATACACCGCCCAAATCCTAAAGTGGAAAACATATGATAGAAGGTTTGAGGTTTATTTCATTGGTTAACATCTTATGGGGAACATTTGAACCGAACTTGCCGTTATTTATGTCCATGGTTTATTGCACCTTGTTATGCTGGTAAAATAAGGTCATCAATAACATGCAACTCCATGCAAGCGGTCCTGAAGATCAATCAGATTTTTCCTGCACACGCAAAGGTCTTGCACGCAAAGTCAAGCCACTGGGCCATGTGATGTCTTATGTTTAAGAGAAAAACCACAAACCTTCAGCTTCCTCACGGAAAACACATGTAAACTTAAAACAGTAGTGATTGATAGAGAATTTTTTTAATTCAAAAAGAACTGAATGATTCAGATAGCTTATATCCACCCAACTGAAGAGAAGAAAAACTTAAAAGTATAAAATATAAAATGCAGAGACGGAAGGACATATGTAATAACAAGCAACCACAGCATTACACAGACACACATACACACAAAGCCAGACACACATTGAGGAAAGAAGTGGACAAGCCTTTGTGAGTCATCAGTTTTCAGCAACAGCATGACAAATATGGGCACTTCAACAGGAAGAGCTTCTGACACGCACACGCACACAAACACTGAACACGCAAAAGCAAACCTGCAACAAATGCCATAATCTACATACATATTTTAATAAGTTTCAAAACCACAGGACATGAAAGTCAATACGCCACATTTAGATTAATAAAAAACCTGAAAGATGCTAATTTTTTTAGAAAGAGAAGTTTTACAATGGGAAAACCACAATGTGTTGTGGGCTACATAAGTCAAGAACCATATTTCCAGTGATCTTTCTCTTTTTGTGTCATTGAAGTGGAATTTAATCATCCTAAGCTCACATGTCTCCATGCATCACTCGCAAAAAAAAAAAAAAGAGAAAGAAATATGAAAGGTCAGCAAGCCCGATAGGTCTGAGATATAACAGCCAAAAAATGTTTCAATATTTTTCAGCTTTTTAACAATATTCAGTATATATTTTGGTATTTGTGAATTTGCTCTGAAATGGCTTAAAAGTGAATAATGAAATATTATTATATTATATTTAAATAAATATTTAAATATGTATAAATAAATATTATAATAAAAAAATTGATTGGTTCTATTGTCCTCATTTGTAAGTTGCTTTGGATAAAAATATTTTAGATTTAAACATTTTAAATAGCTGTTTTCTATTTGAAAGTATATTTAAAATGTAATTTATTTATATGACGACAAAGCTGAATTTTCAGCAGTCATTACTCCAGTCTTCATTGTCACATGATCCTTCAGAAAACATTCTAATGCTGATTTGGTGCCATTTAAAATATGAATAAACAAGGATAAAAATATAATCTAAATAGATGGAGAAATCACTGGACAATAAGAAAGCGGACGGAGAGTTATAGGAGAAAAGAAAGAAAATAGTTAAAAGAGAGAAAGAACAGAAGTATGAACGACAAACTGCTCAAGTTAGTTCATGCCCAGATTTTGCAGAATTAGTAACACTAGTAAAAACTGTTACTTGTGCCAAAGCTGCATGTTTGAATGTGCACAAGACGAGAATGACATACAAGGAGAAGGTTTGTATAATACTCTGCCAGTTAATTGAGACTGTAGATGTCTAAAGAGGTTCATCATCCTCTAGGCATGTCACATTATCTTTAACAATGGGCTCCCCGACACATACATACACACACACACACACACACACACTTCATCACTTTATCCCCTAGCCATCATCACCCCATGGTGCACAACATCCCATTAAAAATAGCCTGTGTCTACAGAAAGCATTATCCAAACAGATTTGACCCAAATGAATCTGACCTAATCTGCTCCTAAACCTGTGATTGAACAACACCTTAGTGAATTGTAAGCAGAATATGCAGACACACCAGTCTTTATCTAATGATACTCAGATTCACAGGATGGGGCCCAGCACAGACAGGGGCCGTGAAGCGGTGAGAATGTCCTGCCAGGGCGTGTGCTCTCTGCCAGAATGCAGTCGTGCTGTAAGTTAACCGCAGGGCGCGCGACACGGGTCGGGCGGGCAGCGCTTAACTCTCCCCTCTCTATCATTTTCCATGTCCCTCACTTCTCCACTCAAAACACGAACCGCTGGCTGGAGCTGCTTCACAACACGCAACGTCTGAAAACATTTCGTTCCATATTTCTTGGGTGAATTCTTGGCCTCTAATTTTGACTCTTCAAAAAAGGATGGATGGAGGAAAAGAACATTAACCAGAGAGACAAGAGGGGAAATGAGTTAAAGAGAAAGAGGCTGGGAGAATATAGAGCGAAGCGATGGTGACAAATAGGGACAGCAGCTATGGAAAAACTCCACAGCAGTGTCGAGAGACACTAAAACTAAACCTCAGTGGGGACTACATCTCAGAATGTCCTAGGCCAACAGTGCTTTTATTTTCAGACTGGCCATTAAATAAAAAGTGTAATACGGCCAAATTTTAGAGAAAAAGAAATGTAGGTTTAAGTTGTCCGTACTTCTCAACATAGAACAATGAATTTTTAAAAAACTGTTACTATGTTAGAAATAACATTCACATTTGTGAAAGTAAATTAGATCACATTTGATTTATATGCAGCTTATTTTGCTGTTCAAAGAAAGTCATTCAGTGTTGTAGGAACAATCCAAAAAAACAATTATAAATCTCATAAGTCAATTTTCACAAAGTTTCACGGTTTTAAATGTCTATTTGCTTATGTGAGATAACATATGTAGCCTAAAAATAAGATTTCCAATTAAAGTGCATAACTTTAAAATATTGATTGTAACAACTAATATATAT